CTGCTCCTGCATGCTTTATGTGTATCCATGTGAATGTGCGGATGTGGGTGTGAATAATAGTATCGTGGCTAGCAATGAGGAGGCCGGCAGATGGGTGACCTCTGAATGACTGACAAGGCATGAAGACCCGTGTGTCTAGGCAGATCCACTGCTGGGCAGGGAGGTCTGTGGGCCCGGAGCGCTGAGTAAATGCTTCAAGGGCATGGCCACAGGGAGAAGGCTGGGTCAGGCCATGGGGACTCAGAGCCCCAGAGGACTGGGGCAGCTGGTCTCTGGCCAAGGCCACTCCCCGGAGGAGCAGCGCCAGAACATTAGGCACAGACTCCCACTGGGGGCCAGAGCAGGAGGGCAAGTCAATACACAAATAGGCCTGAGGGTGTGAAGCCCCTGGAGGCCCCTTCCCTCCTCTCTCCAGATTTGCCCACTGGGAGCAGACACTTGGATTTATGTGAGGCCTGGGTATGACGAATATAATTGACATGTAGCTGGAGCCAGCAATGCCACTTGCAGTTATTCTGGTCAGAGGAAACTGAGGTCTGCGAATGGGCTTGTCTGAAGCCACATAAGGAATCAGCCCAGGATGATAAATTTCCTAAACAGTTATTGAATGAGTCAGTGAGTGAGTGAGTGAGTGAAGAAATTAGTGGGTAGAAGGATGCAAGGGAAGGAGAGAAAGGACTCACTGAGTGGACAACAGGGACCATCATGAGTTTATTGCATAAGCATCTACTCCTTATCCAAAGATGAAACACTCAGGGGCGAGTAGAGATGAGTTTATTAAAAGTGGGGAGCTTGGGCCCTCCCTGGTGGCTCAGCGGGGTTAAAGCACAGCACTAAGAAGCTAAAGCCACTTCACCGCGAGTTCGATCCCCCACCCTGAGGTGACCCACACGGCGCGGCAGACCTCTCCTGACCCGCCCGCTGCTCCCCTCAGCAGTGTACTTCGTCCGTCTGCCTGTTCTGCTCCCCACTCTGTCTCTGGTGAATCCTCTCACCACCTCTGAACCTCTGGTCTATACCCCGGTTCTTTATGCATAAATAAATCTTTTTTTAAAAAGTGGGGAGCTTAAGCATCCTATCTTCTGAAGGTGGAACAGTAGGCGTTGAGAGAGAAGTGTTATAAAGTACTGTGTTTTTTTATCACAATTAATTTGGAGCGTGCTCATGTACGTAAGGAGGGGTTTCATGTGGAAACGCATCTGGGTAGATACGCTGGGTAGAGAGGAAGTAGAGAAAAACCAACTGCTGCCTTCAATGACCTTCCAAGAAAATAGGAGAGATTTAACATAATCGTGTATAATCATGAGTGATTCAGTTACAGAGGATGACACAATGGATCACACCCACAATGTACCCTGAAGGGACCACGGACACAAGGCATGCTTGCCAACAGGAAGATGACAGGAGAGACTGCAGGGAACCAAGACGGACAGGCAGGTGAAGTGCAAGAGGCATCTGGAGGAGCCTAGAAGCAGCCTTGCATGTGTGTGTCTGGGTGAAGGGCTGCTATGGTTGGGGGCTGGGATTTGAATCCACATTGGGGTATATATATGTGATTCTTGCCCCCTCCATCACCCTGAAGCATGGAAATAGAAGGTCATGGTCATCTTCTGATATGACCAGATTATTATCCAGATTGGAGTGCTTGAAAGTAAAAGAAAGCACTAATTATGCCGGGAAGCTGACATCACCCCGGCCATCCTGTGCGCGCTGGGGCCTGTGGCTACTCTAGTCACAGAGGTGGGCAGCGGGCTGTCCTGGAGGCTCCAGCAATAGCAATGTGGGCATCCCAGTTCACCTCACTGACAGCAGTTCAACTGACAGCAGTTCACTCCCAAGCCATGCCCTCTTCTAGAAGATGTGCGCAGCCCCATCCCACTCTGCAGCGAAGCTGACCTTTGGGGGCAGGGGCCAGCGTTCCTGGTGGGCAAAGTGGAAGAAAAACTCCTGGGACCTCCAGGACCTTGCTGCCCTGTGGCAGGATTTGGTGCTCTGGGCCCTCGCGGTCAGCAAGCCTGCTGCCCAGCCTGGGATCTTAGCACTTACTCCATCCACTTTAGCACTGCCGTTTTCCCTGGTGCCAGCCCTGCTAGGCGGCTCTAATGGATTACTTGCATTATCTCCCTCATCACTGCTTAAATATTTATCAGACCATTATGTATTTAGTGGCCAGGAGCGGGAGGGTAGGAGGGAAGGGGCCGAAGGCCGGACAGCTTTGGCCAGATGCAAGGGTTAATTACAGATTGGATAAATCCCCCGATTTAAAAATTAAATAAATAAGCATGGTTGGGAGATTAAAAGGGAACCGTTACTCACATGTGAGGCAGTCCAGAGCAGCCCAGTCCAAGTTTTAGTGTCTTCCAGCGTCTCTCTGTATTATCCTGCTGTTCCCTTCCCCTACCTGCAAACCCGTGGGCTGCCTGAGCCTTAAATTAAAAACCATACTTAGGTTTTGCTCCTCAAGCAAACAGTGTGTGGGAAAATTCAAGCTCTCCTACAATGAGAGTCAACATCAGCCTCATAAAGGAAGTTCTGAAGGTAACTCCAGGGCTGGCACTGTGAAATATTGTTCATTATATCGAAGCAGCTGAGATAATGCTGTTTTCTAATTTCCCTTTCTCAGTCAGAAATTAAATAAAAAGTCATGTCTAAATTACAACACTGGATTGAGATCAGACGAGGGCCCCATGCAGAGAGCTCATGATCCATCCTTCCCACATTTCATAGCCATTAAAAAAGATGATCGCAGTTTTTTTCCCCTCCTTTTTCTTGGAGGCCATTTACATTTGTTCTGAACTCTCACTGTGTTTTATTTGAGTCTCTTAAAAGTGCCACTGCACATAATAAGTCAATCGCAAACTTAAATTAAGAAAAAAACAGACACCCAGGCAAACTAGAGCTCGGAATTCCAAGCTCAGCTACCTAGAGACTCCCTAGCTTGGCTGTTACCCGGGTCCATGCCCCCAGCCTGGCCCACAACGCAGGTGGCAAAGGCTTCTCTAGAGAGCCAAAGTGGGCGGGCTCTTGGACAAAATGTAAGTGCTGGACTGGCTGGTAAAGGTATTTAAAAATGCTAATGAGCCTTATTTGCATATTTTATTGAGTTTTTAGCCAACTATTCCAGGAGGGCAGAAGAGTGACGTGGCCACATTTCACGGGCAGATTTCAAGCATTGTATATGCTAGGATGTTATTTGCAGAATATTGCACAAAAGGTTGGTGCAGAATATCATCATAACTTTTGATGGAATTTTTAAAACAGCCTCATTCTGAACTTACTGTGGGCAAGTTGTAGCACTCAGATTCCCAGGCTTGAGTGTCTCTCTGCAAAGTACCAGGTAGAAGTGAACAGAGGTGGTCTCTTCCACAGTCCTGAGATCCTAGCTGTTCTTTTCAGCCAGGACAAGAGCACTTAGATTTTACTTATTATTGTTTTCAGTTACAGTGTTTTTTATTCTGGTAACACTTGGTTACTGGTTTGTAGCCCTGTATATGACTTAAGGGTATAGAAGTTCACACCTCTTCAGAGGTTAGTCACTAGTCTTCGTGACACACGTACCACCAGAATACCCATAATCCTTCAACATAGACCCCTGGCCCCTGCCTTCTCTGCTTTGGTCATTACCCCATCCTTCCTTCAAAGTAGCCTCAGTTTTGCAATCAGATTTTCATGGTTTGAAAATGCCGAAAAAATTACCATGATTTGAGAGTTGTCAGAGGGCACAGATACTAGAGGCTCAAGGGAGGTGGCTGCATTCATCAGACAAGACTTGGCAGAGCAGAAGCGCTTGGTCTGGGCTCTGCAGACCAGGCAGGATCTAACAGCAAGGACAGGAGATGAGAGGACACTCCAGGAAGGAGCCAAGTTTGAAGCAAAGGTCAGGGAATGGGATACGCCGGGCATTTAAGGATGCAGCAAGCAGGTCAAGACAGTATTTGAGGAGGTCTCCTGCCTCCACAAGCAACCTGACTGTGCCTCTTCAGGATGCCACTCTAGGGTGGACAGGGCTTGAAAGAATAGGCTGTCATCCCTGTGGACAGTGAAGATGACCCAAGGCATCTGACCCACACTGCCCATCAGGGCTTGGGCCACCGTCACTGAAATACAAAGACTGATAATCTGCTGAGGCAAGTCAGTAGTTATGGTACCAACAGTCATGGTGATCAGAGAAGAGAGGTAGGGAGAATGGGATTGTGGGCATGGTGGCAGCAGCCCTGGAGTGAACTTTGTGCTGGATGTATGCTTTTGTCTCTTTGCAGAGTTTGTATTCAAGTGTCAACCAAGTCAGCTGCAGAGTGAAAACTCCAGCAACAGCTCTACATTGTGCAAACAAGAGCACCATCACTCTTCGGAGTCCTGGACATGAGTAAGTTCCACTGGATTGAAACTCATCTGCATCATCACAAAAACTTTCAGCACTATACTTGTCAATGAAAGAAAGGAAGGCTGTTAAATTCTTTAAATATAATTTCAACTGCAATGAATCTTTAATGGTTAGAAAAATGGCTTTAAATTTTTTATCACCCACTTGTGCAAACCAAATTTCTTATCAAGGGTGACTACCAAGAATTGTTAGAGTTCAGCACCGAGAGTCTTGCTCAGGCCTGGTGCACAGCTGTACCAGATGGAAACCTTCATGTGAACCCGCTACAAATCAGCAAGCTTGGGCGGAAGCAAGTCCAAATTTCTGTTAAAAATAGAAAAATGTTTGGGCCCTCCATGGTGGCGCAGCAGGTTAAAGCACAGCACTAAGACACTAAAGCCACTTCAGCACGAGTTTGATCCCCACCCTGGAAGTGACCCACATGGTGCGGCAGACCTTTCCTGACCCGCCCGCTGCTCCCCTCATCAGTGTACTTCGTCGATCTACCTGTTCTGCTTCCCGCTCTGTCTCTGGTGAAACCTTTCACCATCCCTGCATCTCTGGCCTGTACCCCAGTTCTGTATGGACAAATAAATAAATCTTTAAAAAAAATAGAAAAATGTTTTATCCCAATTTGATATATAATGTCCTTCCTAATCTCTCATATTTTATGTCACTTTGTATAACACAGGGAAAATGGAATGGCATTTTCCCCAAGCTCTGGACCAAGCCCTGGGCTGTGGACTACAACCTACCGTTCACATGTGTCATGAATTTTAAGTCAGGAAGCTCTACTCAAACATATCTTATTTTATCCCTATGGACCACGGTGGTATATGACCTTGGCCAGTCACCAGCTGTCCCTTGCCATTGTCTGTGGGTCAGTGTGGCCCCAGGGCTTCCTGACACCCACTGGAAGGACCCAAGCATAGGGGCTAAAGATGGCACCATATGGCCCTAAAGAGGTTCCCCTGTGGTTATTCCATGGATACCCTCTTCTCATTAATGCTGCTCATGACTAAGACCCCACTGGTAGCAAGACATGGTATCATGAAGGAAGAAGGGTGGCATGGGAGATGGGGAGACACAACTCCCCAAACACAAAGGCTTACTGGCTTACACGGTCCAATGCTCCTGCTTTAGTTCTTCTATGGTCTCTTCTCCACCTCTGGATTTTAAATAACTTCCTGAACTATAAATGCAAAGCGCTCCAAATGAAAACTGATTGATAGCCTCATGTAATTATATAATAAAAGCACACCAATATGCATATACATTATGTGTGGGCTCAAACATCTATATGCATCTGTATCTATTCCAGAGGGAGGAATATGCAATAACGTCTCCTGAAACAAATTGTCAAGGTGTCAATAAGGAATCTCATAATGAATGTGTGGGTGTGATCTGGGGTAATTTCATCACAATTATGTTGCTTAGGCTGATTTCCCAAGACAGGTCTTAAAGGCACAAGTCCCATTCCCAAGCGGAAAGCTGGGTGTTTTGCTTTCTGTGGCATCTTCAAGGCATCACATTTCCAGACCAAAACGTCTTCCCCCAAGCAGCCAGGCGAATCAGGTAATCAGGCAATGTTAGGAGCTTCAGGCCACTGTTACAAGCTTTAAAAACCTTGGTGGGGTCAGGGTGAAGGTAGGGGGACTGAGGGAGGTAGTGGCTCTGTCTGACCCCCAACAAGGTTGGCAGCTATTCAGGCTAAGAAAAAAACAGCAGTGTCACCCCACCAAGCAAGTTCAAAGTCCTAACAGTGAGTACTGACTACATCAGACACTCCTAAAACTCTAGAGGAAAAGCAAAGTGGGGGGACTGGATGTGTGTGTATACTGGAGGGGAGAGGGGGCTATATGTAGCCCTTGCGCCCCAGGAATTCCCAGACTCTCCAAAGAGACAGATGCATGAACAAGGGCTAATACTTTGTAAGAAACTGAATGCAATAGAGGACACAACCATGACCACCAGAGAGGGAAGGAGGACCTAGGAAAGACTGCAGGCCTCAGATGGGGTTTGACAGTAGAATATAAGTGCAATCAGTGTGGAAAAGATTGTTTTTGCATAGCACCTTGCTCCAAGCTGAGCACAGCTAATAATGCAATAATGATGAACGACTCTAGATGCCATTTGGGAGTCCAGCAGGGTGAGGGGCCCCGTTGTCCATCTCTGGGTCCAGGACACAGAACCTGCTGTCAGGAGAGCCATTTGGGGTCCAGGAAAGTGTGCAAGCTCCAGGCTGCAGGTCAACACTGTCTGGGCCATTCACTGCAGCTACGTCCAGAGAGCTCTGGAGACAGACTGAAAGAGAACAAGAAAGGAGAGAACTACATGCTGAGAAGGCTTCCACAGGACACGGGAACCAGTAGCCACCATTTACTCTGCCTCCCAGAAAACATCAAAATCTAGACTAGCCTGTTCACACCAGAAACCCGCAAGTTTTTGTTAACGCCTCCTTGACCCTCACCCTTGCAATGCCCCTCACAGCCTCCTCCACCTGCTCACTCCCATCACTGAATCCCCTCAGCACGACTTCTGGAACGTTTCCTGATTCCCAGGGCCACTGCCAAGCTGTACCGGACTGGCCCCAGTCCCCTCCACTCCACTCACCTGCCTGTTACCAGCATGACTTAAAAAAAGAAAAAAAGCTTTATTTATTTATGCTTACAGAACTGGGGTACAGGCCAGAGGTGTGGTGGGTGAGAAGATTCACCAGAGACAGAGTGGGGAGCAGAACAGGCAGATGAACTGAAATACACTGCTGAGGGGAGCAGTGGGTGAGACAGGAGAGGCCTGCTGCGCCATGTGGGTCAGCTCCCTGGCTGGGGATGGAACTCATGCTGCAGGGGCTTCGCAATGCTGTGCTCTAACCCCTTGCACTACCAGGGAGGGCCTAGTCTCCTCATTCTTATCTGTACCCCAACAACTAGATTAGGTCTAGGGCGGGGTAACAGTTCACCCAGAATACCCCTAGACTTGACAGGTGAGTTGAAAAAAGATGGGAGCTACAGCACTGCCTGGCAAACTGGTGTTCATCACAGAAGCTTGGATCCCAGGTGCAAGCTCTTCAGGGAGTGTGGGATGTCTCTGCCCATGGAAAGGAAGCTGACCCCAGCCCCAGCAGCCCTCAGGCCAACTATCAAAACTCTCTTAAGTGAATGATATCTTTTCAGTTCATAGAATATTTTTTTAAGGATTATCACGTCTGGCAAATAGAAACTTATGAAAATTCCACCCCTTTGTCTAGGGATGACTTCTGAATTCTGAATAAATGAGAATCAGCAGGCTGCTTGCCATGGTCCTGAGATGCAGCCTTATGTATAATCTCTGTGTTCTCCTCTGATTATGTTCTTAGGCTAAAGCTCTAGAAGCAGAACTACAGATTTTTACAGTGTGACATTTTTAAGACTTTTAATAAAATTGTCAACTTTACTTCCAGGAAATTCACACACATATCAGTCCCACTTTTATGAGATGAGCAGCTATTTCACTATGCTCTTGCTAACACAGTAGAATACATTTGTAAAAATTAGAGTCATGTTTTGATTTGTAACTCATCAAGAACTGGGAATGTTGAGTTTTTTCATGAATATAGACTCTTCTGTGAATTTCCCATTAATTTTCTTGGCCTGATTCCTTATTGGGTTTCCTGTCCAGCATTACAGATTTGTACAAATTTATTTTCATATGTTAACTTCCTTAGTCCTTTGCCATGGGTTGCAAATATCCTATCTCTTAATAAATGTGATTCCTCTCACCCCAAGATTAGAAGTGAAAGAAGGAAGTTTCATTATCATTGAATGCTGTTTAAAACTTCAACATCATTAAAAACTTAATTTACAGCCCTGTGCTAGGTGCTTCTAGACATGTCACCTGTCCTCTAGAAGTTTGTGATCTGGTTAATCTAGTGAGGACAATTAGTCGCAAACACATACAGGAAGCATTAACAAGTCAGGTCTTTAGGAAAAGAGGGGACGTGAACTGACCTTGAGGACTTGCACAATTCTCCAAGGACAGAAAAAGAAGGGGGACAAGATATCTCAGATGGAGAAGAGAGTGAGCACAGGAGCAGTGGGAAGGTTCAAGGCAGGTTGAAGCAAGCCTGTGGAGTCAGGTGTGCGTGGGGTCTGTGTTGGTGTGAGGTAGGGAGCCGGGTCAGCTGTTCAAGGCCTGAGAGTTCCCGGACTTCTCCACTCCACATCTCACAGAGGCTGATGCTCTCTCCTGGCTCAGCCAAGCAGGAGGCTTTGTCTCTGAGCCCTTCAGCTGAGTGTGCATGCAGTGTACGTTCACTCTTTTATGATGGCTGCTGTTTGTCAGAATTGATTAGCCTTTCTGGGTAGGAGCCATCTGCTGTTTGTCAGGCTCCTTGTCTCACCAGCATGTTGATTTCAATAAATTATTACAGCACTTGGTGTTGGCTGGATAGGTTGATGCTGTATAGCTCACATCCAAATCAGAGCTGACAGAAACCCACTTACTGGTGTGTCCCCCTCACCATTGTCTTCTCTCTTGGTCAACTGCATCTAAAATGAACCACAATGGTATTACCGTGGGTTTCCCAGGACATTCTTCCCACCTCTTTCTTCTCTTTCTTCTACTCACAGTACCCAATTTCCCTGGACCAAGGGCTGGTGGAAGGTGAGCTCCTAACTCAAGCAGACTGAAAGTGTTTTCCACTGGAATTGCAAGCATGAAGGCAGTGTATTTGGAACAGTCGGTAGTCATCGTTGATGGAATGTGGAAAAAACCAAGCAGAAATGGGCAAAGATGAGACACAGACAATGTCCAAGAGATATGGAGCCCTTGGTTCCTACAACTCTTCCTCACCTCTAATAGCTGCATCAACTTCTTCCTTGCTTTCTCTGTCATTTTGTTTAAGGTCATTTGAGTTGTTATTCTACCACCCACAATAGAGGGACCCTCAATATACCCAACACTATCAATACAGTTGCAGAAACCAGGAATTGAGAGTCATCCTCAAATCATTCTCTTTCATCCCTCAATAAATCAATCACTGAATCCTCTTGCTTGTGTCTTTAAAATGTCTTTTCAATTCCTCCATTTTCTCTCTAGTTATCTCTCATCTGGGTGGCACAATAGCTTCCTAACCAGTCTCCCTGGGACTTTAGCCCCTCCCAATCTATCTCCTACAACTTGAGAGTTGGTCTTTCTAGAACTCAACTTTGTGACAAAAACTATAGAAGGCATAGATTACCCATGAGCCAACCTCAACATCAAAGGACACAGGCCTGTCCCTATCTTCTCAGTTCCTACTTCTAGTTCTTGACATCCAATTGCCCCCTAGTCCCCTCCAGCTCAAAGCCCTTCTCAGCCTTGTCTATCTGGTTTCTCTTCACATGGCCCATCCTTTGCAGTCTCCAGAGCCCTGCCCTGACAGCAGGAGCACAGTCTTCTACTGGCATTCCTGGGCTTCACGTTTGAGTTCATGACAGGGAGAACTTGTAGCAGAGCAGCGAAAGCATGGACCCTGGGTTAGCTGACCTCAGTTCCGAGTTCTGACTCTCCTTTATTAGCTGTGAGAGCTTTAACAAGTCACCTAACCCTGAGCTCACTTTTCTCAGAGATATATGAGTGTAGCTATAAAGATCAAATGTAAGAATGCGCGAAATTCTTAGGTAGAATATAATACAAAGTAGATGCCCAAACAGGCTATTTTAATCATTGCATTTATAGCTTTACATTGTCAGTATATGAACATGTTTCATTGTCAGTATATGAACATGTTTCCTCCTTCATTTGTTCCTCCCCAGCCCACATCATGAGCTATTTGAGGTCAGGGGCTGGGTGCTTCTTCTCATTCTGCTCAATACCTATGACACACTGCACTGTTTCTGACTCTGAGCAGCGTGCAATGAATCTATTCACCCACTGTATTCCGCTCTAATCACTGCTATTTTACTGCCATTATGACTGGAACTCCTCGTGGCTCAAAACTGACTAACAACAGGATCTTCATAGGAAATAATTTAGAAGTGACAACTAGTGAATAGAGAATACAAACATGTGTTCCCCAATAGAGCAAATACAATTTGTTGTCTATATAAAATCCCTTTCCCCATTCTTCTTTGCCAACTAAACTCTGATTTTGATCAGGCTCTTCTCTCAAGGAAGCGATCTCAATTCACAGGTAATTTTCTTTTTTAAAAAAATCTAAGCCAGGCATGATAATGCCTGTCCCCTTGCTAGAGTTTAGTAGGGGGTGGGCATAAGTCCCCAAGAGCAGTATATGCCAAGAGCAGGTAGTCCTCTGAGGAACTTTAATAGAAGGTTCCCTTGTTCTTAAAAAGAGACACGAGGAAGAAACAACCCCTTTTCTTCTACTTCCACATTGTCTGCAAAAGATGTCACCATCATTTGGCAACCATAAAGAAGTCCCAGCAAAGGATGAAGGAAGAATGGCAGGGCAGAAAAATGGAAAGAACCTGGATCCATAATGACATTAACGGGCCATAGAATTCACCAACCCTAGAGCAAATCTACTGTAGAACTTCTTCTTTGATGAGATAGCAATGTTTGCTACTGTCCACATCACTTACGTCATAGTTTTCTATTATTTGGGGCCAGAGCGTCCTATCAGGCTCACCTAACTTTACAGCCTTTCTCTCAACCTGTCTCTGCTCATCCCGTTCTTGAAGGTCAGATAAGGTCTTGCTCCCCCATACCCATTTTCACATATGCTTCTCTCTCTTCTTCAAGTCTATAATTTATTTCACTCCTTTTTCTCCCAGCTAAATTTCACTTGTCTTCTAAAGTTTGATTCACTTTCCTTGAGGGTTAGTTATCGGAACACAGCTAGGCTCTTCTTCAAAGCACTCGGTGGTTCCTCTAGAGATACCATAGGTAAGTCCCCCTTATTCTCCTCCTCAGAATCCCCTGAGTACAATCTCCCCATCTTAAGTCACATTTGATATCATCATTGATCTTATTCTCCCCAGCTACAGAGAGGCCCTCAAGAGTAAGAATGGCATCTCATTCCCCAGAACCCCTTGAACCTAGCTCATTGCCTGGACTGGAATATGATAAGCACTCGAAAGATGGCAACTAGATGACTAGATTCATGGGTGACTCATAGTCTCACAGGCTCATACACTCACCAGGGAAACCAGAGTAATGTGAACAAACATGGCATGCCAAAGAAGGATGAACCCACATGCGATGCACAATTAAAGACATACATATTAACACAACTTTAAGGTATCATTACATGATATTAAGTTTAAAGAAAATAAATAAAACATATACAATTCTATTGGGTGGACTGGGGGAAATAGTAAGCCTATGTACTGTCAGAAGCATTGTAAATTGGTTCAATCTATCTGGAGAGCAATAAGGCAATATGTAACAAAAGCTATAAAACTGCTCATACCCTTTGACATAGCAATTCCACTTTAAGGACTATACCCTAAGGAAATAACCCAAACCAAAAAAAAAAAAAATGGCAATTTATATGAAGACATTTATAGTAACAGTATTTAGAATACAGAAACAGAAAAAATAAAACATTAACTACCTAAGCTGTATTGAGACAGCAAAGCAAAGTGGATTATGATAGTTTTAGGTAGGAGCAAAAACTAGCAACATCCGCATATATAAATGCATATATAAAATATGATAAATGAGAAAATATCAAATAGCAGCAACATGCTGATTTGAATGATGTAAAATTTTATTTGAAAATATTTGTCTACACATTGCAAAAGACATTGAGGAGAAATAAAAACATTGTTTGTAGGTCATTGGTACCTGCATTTTCATGGAATTCAATCCTCCTCTCTGGCGTCCGTGCATCTTGCCTACAGTGCAAACAAGCTTCCGCTCCCTCTCCAATCAGCATGATGTTGTCAATATACTGAATCAACCTCATGTCTTGTAGGATGAAGATGTGATTAAATATCTCCGCGCCTGAATTGTGACATAGAGAGGAAAAGCTGAAGCAATAAAGTGTACCGCAATCCTTGCCAGGTGAAAGCAAACTGTGTCTTCTTCTCAGAACTGAATTTTTAAAAAGCAGTAGCAGTATAAATAGCATCCGAGGGTAGGTTATTTTCTCCAGCAATGCAGCCATATCTGGAATAGCTGTAAGTGGAGGTCACTTCATCATGGGTATAATAATCTGATGCCATTTTCCAAGATAGATCCACTTTCTGCACTGGATAAATGAGTGATTTAAATGGGGCTATGTTAGGGATCATGACACCTGTACCTTTTGAGGCTTCAAAGGATTTAATGATTTCCCCAGGGATAAAGTATGGTTTTGGATTTCTACTTTGCCTTCTATCTGGCATTTTCTGACCAAGGAAACTTTAAGGAAATCAATGTTATCATTCTGCCTGGTACCAAATATATGTATTCTAACTACTTAGTCAGGAACTTAGGAAGTAACACAGAATGGACTTGGGGGTCCAGTAAACAACCATGATGTAGGATATTTCACCTATGTCTTAAGTCCTGGAAGTTCCCTTACAGACCATTAAACCTCAGTAGTATACTGGTTCCCCAGGAATTAGCATGGAATGAGTGAAATATCTAAAAGTTATAGGTATCTCCTTTCCTACGAAGTCATCACAATCTTGATAAAACGCTCCAAATCTCTGGAGAAAGCCAAGAGTAGGAGTCACATATATAGTCATGAAGAGTCACAGGGTCCTACCTTTAATGGTTCTGGGTCTCTGACTTAAGATTAAAAATTGGGTGAGGCCCTCCCTAGTGGTGCAGCGGGTTAAAGCACAGCACTAAGAAGCTAAAGCCACTTCCGCATGAGTTCGATCCCCGCCTGCCCTGGAGATGATCCATATGTTGCGGCAGACCTCTCCTGACCCGCCCTCTGCTCCCCTCAGCAGTGTACTTAGTCTATCTGCCTGTTCTGCTCCCCGCTCTGTGTGTAGTGAACCCTCTCACTGTCCCTGCACCTCTGGCCTGTACCCCATTTCTGAAAGAGAAAAAAATAAATAAATAAAAATAAAAATTGGGTGAGAAGCAATGGCTCTCCGTAGTTAGTGATTCAAAGGAGGATTCTTTTCTCTAGATCTAACATTAGTTACCTATCTGTTTTTTCTTTATATGGGTTAAAAAGCTTTTTTGAAGAATGCCTGCCTATTTCAGTGTAAAAGACTTCATAACCAATTAGTTCAAGGCAGCTATAGGCCTTTGGATTGTCCTTATTTTCCTACTGCCCAGCCTCTGCTAAGGAACTAGGCACTCTCAGCAGGGTTAGACACTCTCAGCTGCTTGCTCGGTAGCCACCACTTCCTCCTTGCTCACAGAAGCTGAATTGTTGCAGTACAGTAACGTGCCCTGCTAACAGGTCTCAAGATCTCAACATTTTTTTTAAAGACTTACTTATACATACAGAACTGGGATACAGGCCAGAGGTGCGGGGGCAGTGAAACCATTCACCAGGGACAGAGTGGGGAATAGAATAGGCAGATGGATGAAGTACACTGCTGAGGGGAGCAGAGCGGGTAGGTCAGGAGAGGTCAGCTGAGCCATGTGGTTCATCTCCAGGGCCAGGGACCGAACTTGCATTGAAGCGGCTGAGGCTGGCTTGCAGTGCTGTGTCCTGCCCATTGCACCACCAGCGAGGGCTCTCAAGTTTCCAACTTCTCTTGCAGTTGTAGTTACGTCACTTAGAATGCTACATCAGACAGGTCTGTGGGAAAGCTGGATTCAGAAGTGAGCAAGATGAAGAAGAGGGCATCCCCTGGTGGTACAGGGGTTCAAACCTCAGAGCTATCAAACCATTACCAGCCACTGAGGCATGAGTTCAATCCCCAACCTGGGAGGTGACCCACGTGGGGCAGAAGACCTTTCCTGCCTCTCCCACTGTTCCCCTCAGCAGTGTATTTCAGCCTCTGGTGAATCCTCTCACCCCTGTACCTCTGGCCTACACCCCAGTTATTGTATGCATAAATGCATGATTTTTTTTTTTAAGTGGAAACTAAATGCCATGGAACTGACATGTTGCAAGCACATGGTAGAGATACCCAGCTCTCCACCAGGGAGTGGGCAGAGGGCTTGGTGTCCAGTTCTGAGCACTGCCAGCGTCAAGGAGCACTGGTCTTCCACTAAAGCCCCCCACAGCCCCAGTCTTTGCTGGTTAGTCACTCCCTGTGCAGCACATCCCGTGTGGTACCTAGTATCCTCTTATACAAACCCTTTTCTGCTTAAGCCAGGCTGTGTAGATTATGTTGCAATTACGAACATTAAATAATACATGTGCCACGTTCCTCTGGAGGGTGTTGAAGTGTCACTCCTGGATCTCCTCTCCTGGGGATCCTACCATCCCCTGTGAAATCAGGGATCCCATTTCAGCGCGAGCACTCTCAGCATCAAGGGCCTCTACAGCGCTCCTCAAATATGTTGACACTCTCCGAAGCGGTATTGCTCGGGGTCTTGCTAACAGAGCACTTTCAGTTCCTGCTAAGGGAGGGGTGAGTCGTTTGCCTAAGATAAATCTATGTCAACTTTTTTATCTACCTAAGTTTCTGATAACTTTCTATTACATCAGACTTTTCTGGCATCTTATTTTTATTACTTTTGAGTCATGATTGAAGACAGGATTCAGTAAGCAATCTTAAAAAATAATTAGAAATCCCAGATATGTGAGCATGTATGTTGAATCAAGTATCTTTCATGAGTGTCCCCAGAGTTACAGTTTCAGCATGACCTCAATGTATAGCCTTCCAGAGTGGGAAGACCTTGTAGATACTGGGTTATCAAAAGGAATAACAGTTGTTCTTACAAAGATCAATATCAGTTCTCAAAATGTTCCCCAAGATCCAGGGTTTTCTCTAGGAACCAGGATGGCAAGTTCAATCATCATCTTCTGTTTCAAAATATATTCCAAATTCAATGGATAGGCTGCCAGGTAAACTTTCAGTTGAGGAAGCTATCTAACGTTTTTTTTAAGAGGTTGGAAACTACTGATATCTTTGAAATTCACCTGGAAGTCTCCATGGTTTCCCTCGTTACTGTGATGGGTTTGATGTTTCTCACTAGAATCCCATGGGGAAGTGCCACAAACGGTTGGCTGTTTTTAGGTTTATTTTCTCCAAATTCAGTGAACATATCAGGAAGCCTTCCAAGAGTGTGTTTGATTTTCTAAAGTACCCTGTGACATATACTTCTCTTGGCAAAGGGCAGAAGCTGGCAGCCCCTAGCAGTAGGTAAACAACAAAATGTGTTTACGATGTGTGGGTAGCAGGGACCACATGAACTGCAATAGCCAAGTGACTCTGGGGCGGAGGCCAGGCTGGAAGCATCGTATGCCCACTAGTGCTGATGAAGGAGGCCCAGGTGTTTAAGAGCATAGCTCTGAACTCAGTCTGTCCAAGTTCAAACTCAGTGCCACCATTTCCCAGCTATGCAACCCTGAAGCATGCTTTCTCCAACCGCAAAATAAGGGTGGTAATAGTTACTGGGGGTGGGGGTGAAATAACGGTATTTAGCAGAGGGACTAACAAACAGTGATGATTATTAATGTTGAGAAGTTGGTCAATTGGATTTGCAAACCACACATTATTAAGGGAGAAAAATACCAGCTTTGCTTACTTTTGAAAACAGTGCAAAGGGACTATTATGCAAAGAATCGGGCTGGCACAGAAATAAGAAAATACAGCCCTAAAGACCCTCCTCTGCTGGCAACAGACATTCTTCCTTTCAAGTCTCCCTCCTCTGCCTCTTGGTACCTTTTCTGTGGACTTCCTATAAGGCTCTTGCCACCCGAAGTTATTTAGTAGAAAATCTGAAAAGCAAAAGAGACCATAGAAATTATTTGATCTACACCTCCTGATGGCTACACTTGTAACACCATTGGTAAATAAAAGCTTCATGTTATATTTTTAAACCTCAGGTGCCTGAGGTTTAAGCTCTCTTCCCCTGTGATGGAGAGGATGGACATGTAACCGGTGGGCAAACAATCCATGCCTCTGCATAATGGTCCCTTTGCACTGCTTTCAAAAGTAAGGAAAGCTGGTATTTTCCCACTAAATAATGTGTGGTTAGCAAATCCAATTGACGAATTTCTCAATGTTAATTATCATCAATGATTGTTAGTCCGTCTGACACATATTGAGCAGTTCACAGGCTCATCTAATCCTTACATCTACCTCCTCCTCTATCAGGTATCCATAAGAAAACTGAGGCTCTAAGAGAATAAATAAATTGTGCAAGGTTACATGACCAGCAATAAGCAGATGGGATCTGAACCCAAAGTAGATGGCTCCATACTTAGACCTATATTCACTTAGATTTAATCAAGCTACAATTAGTGACTTGCAGATTCTTAAGTGGTTAAGGCAGACAGGTAGCCTCTGTGAGTGCTCACAGAGAGAGTCAAAGAAATCCTTCATGAAGATGTGATCTATATACACAATAAAATACTACTCAGCCATAAAAAAGATAAGCTCATGCCATTTTTAGCAACATGGATGGAGCTGGAAGGGATGATGCTAAGATAAATAGCTAGAAAGAGAAAAATAGTGTGCGGTTTCACTTATATGTGGGACATAGAGAAACCAAAGGGCCAGGAAAACATCAAAACCAGCCTTTGAAAGCTGACCATAGCTCTGAGGCACCTGGCGTGGGAGAGGGGAGGGAAAGATGAGAATGGGGAAAGCCGGAGCACCATAGACCATGGTGGAGGGCTGTGCAGCCTGGATTTGAATTGACCAGGTGAATGAAGACTTCATCAGTTCCATGTTAACATCTGCCCAGGGACAAAGGCAACCTCCAAAAATCATTCAGGGGGTAGGGGGTGGGTGAATAATCATGAGGGAGTCCCACTCATAAAAGTTGTGAGTCTGTCACTAAATCCTCCTCTGAGGATGTGCTGCACCATCATTACACCAGCCTGTGACAAGCATTTCTCCAGCTTCATCTGCCTTCAATCTGCCATGGGCTGG